AATACCGGCTAGCAAAGCCTCATATTCCGCCTCATTATTTGAGGCTTGGAACTTGAACCGTGGTGCATATTCATATTTGTCCCCTTCTGGTGACTTGCATATTACGCCTGCACCACAGCCGATCATAGTAGAGCTTCCGTCTACATATAACTTCCAAACCTGATCAACATTTTTTGGTTGAGCCGGCCTCGTCATTTCGACAATGAAGTCGGCGAACGCCTGACCTTTCACTGTCTTTCTTGGTTCGAAGGTTATTTCCAGACTTTGCATTTTAATAGCCCATTTGAGCATTCTGCCGGATGACTCCAAGGTTGTCATTTGCCGCTTGAGGGGTTGGTCTGTGTAGACCACCACCGGATGTGCCAAGAAGTAAGGTTTCAGCTTCTTGATTGCCATGAAAAGAGCAAGGCCAAAATTTTCAACCAAGGGGTACCGCAGCTCAGCATTTCGAAGAACATGGCTAATGAAATAGACCGGGAGATGAATGTCGTCTCTCTCAGCTAGGAGAACGACACTAAGGGCATGATCTGAGACGGCCAAATATATCTAGAGAACCTCTCTTGTTAGAGGGCTGACTAGCCGTGGCAATGAGTGGAGGTGCTCTTTCAATTTCTGGAATGTCGCCTCAGCATTTTCCCCCTATTCGAATTTAGTCTGCTTTCTGATTGCCTGGAAGAAGTAGAGGCACTTGTCACCTAACCGGCTGAGGAATCTCCTTAATGCTGCCAGACAACCGGTAAGTTTTTGAACTTCCTTGATAGTGCGGGGTGACTTCATGTCAATTACTGCCTGTACCTTTTCCGGGTTGGCCTCTATCCCCCTTTAATCAATAAAAAATCCGAGAAACTTCCCAAACTCAACACCAAAGACACACTTTTTGGGATTAAGCATGACCATATGCTGCCTGAGGGTGATGAAGGTTTCTCAGAGGTCAGCAAGGTGATCCGTTTGTAGCTTAGATTTGACTATCATGTCATCAATGTACGCCTCCACATTCCTCCTAATTTGATTAATGAAGATTGTATTAATCATTTGTTGGAAGGTAGCAGGTGCATTCTTCAGCCCAAACGGCATCACCGTGTAACAGAATAACCCTTGATTAGTGAAGAATGTTGTCTTCTCTTGATCTTTTTTCCACAAGGGTATCTGATGGAAGCCTGAGTAGGCGTCCATGAAGCAAATCAAGGCATGACCGGCTATCGAGTCGACCAGAATGTCGATCTTTGGAAGTGGATAGCTATCCTTCGGACATGCCTTGTTCAGATCTATGTAATCAACACACATCCGCCAGGTACCATTCGGCTTCTTAACGAGGACAACGTTTGCTACCCAATCCGGGTAGTAACATTGTCAAATGAACCCAGCATCCATCAGCTTCTTGACCTCGACGGCAGCTGCCTGAGATCTTTCCTCGTCGTGATTTCTCTTCTTTTGCCTTACCGGCTTCTTTTTTGGATCCACGGCGAGTTTGTGGATAGCAAGATCCGGGCTGACGCATGGCATCTCTTCGACTTCAAAGACAAAAATGTCTTTGAACTCTTTGAGCAGTTGATGTAAATCTGCACCCAACTTGGAAAAAAGCAACCGTCCCTACCTTAAGGGTTCGTTCTGGACGGCTGTCATCAAGAACAATGTCAATATTCTCACCAGCCGGCTGGGGACAGAGATCATCTGACCGTTCCTCGATCAGTGATTGCTATTGCTTTTCTTTTTTGACGGCCACTAAGTGGTCCGCCTTTCTCTTTTTGCCGGTTGCTTTTGGAGCATGCGCGGCTTCCTTGAAGTCATTAAGGTCAATGGGTTCCTCGCCTTGGTCGGCTGCGGCCACAGTAGGCTTGGCGTCTGAGAGATAACACTCCCTTGCCGTCTTCTGATCCCCATTCAGGGAACCCACGGTCCCATCATCCTTCTTAAATTTCAGCAGCACGAGGGATGGAATGATGACTGCCTTGGACTCGTTGAGGGTTGGACGGCCTAAGATCAGATTGTAAGCGGTCAATTCCTCGACCACCAAGAACTTGATGACCATGTGTCGTCCCTCCCCCTTTTCTTCTAGCCGGATGGGTAGGTCAATCCTCCCCACCGGATGCACTACTCCTCCCCCAAAACCAACTAAGGGGTGAGAGACTTTGTGCATGCTGCTAGGCTTGTACTTGAGCTTCGCCAAGCACCGATAGCTGATAAGGTCAGACGAGCTCCCGGTATCAATAAGGATCCGGCCCACTCGTTGGTTGGCAACTTTGCATTCGATGACTATGGGGTCATCATGAGGCCGCCTAACCTTGCCCCGGTCCTTCTTAGAGATGATGACATCAGGGAAGGTGTCTTTCAACGCTTGACCTTCATCCACTGAGTTGACCTCTAGCTTTCTGATGTTGTCCTTGTTTCCCCGGATGGTAGGACCCCCTCCCGCGAAACCGCCTGCTATAGTAAAGATTTGCTCTTCATTAGTGCTAGAGCTTATAGCAAGGTTGTCATGCTTCTTGGACGGCTATCCACTGTTTGTTCTAGAGTTACCCTTGGACTTCAGAAGGTAGGACTGTAAATCCCCCTCGCCAGCCAGACGATCCAATAACCGCCTGAGGCTATAGCAACCATTGGTGTCATGGCCTATATCCTCATGGAAATGGCAGTACTTGCTCTTGTCCCGGCTTTTGATGAGACTTTTCATTGCAGCCGGTTTCTCAACGGTCAACCGGTCTTTAATCTCCATGAGGATGGAGGAGCAGTCCTTGTTGAACTCGTACTTGGGGACGTACGACTTCAACTCTTTCTTTTTCTTTTGGGACGACTGTCCAGAATTGTCTGCCACCCAAACTTCTTTTCTCTTCTTGCTCTCTTCTTTTTTAGCTGACTGAGCTAACCAACTCTCTTTTTTGTCGGACTTCTTAGGGTTCGACAGCTGCTTGATGGAACAGAGCTCCGTCGCCTGTATACAGGCTTCGGCTTCCATCAAAGCTTCTTGGAGGGTAGCATCCCTCTTTCTGACGAGGTCGAGCCGTCTTTCAGACCCTTAAAGAAGTCTGTGTAGGCAACTTTGTCAGACAGCCCTTGAATCTGAATTCTCATCAGATTGAACCGCCTGACATAGGACCTTAGCCCTTCTCTATCTCCCTGCTGAATAGCTCCCAAGTCAAGACTTGTCTTTTTGGCGGGGATGTTCATAGAGAAGTTGGACGCGAACAAGTATGAAAGCGTCTTGAAATTATTGATGCAACCGGCTGGCAGATTGCCAAACCATCGTTGGGCTATGCTCTTCAACGTCGCCGGGAAGCATCGACACCAGGCAGCGTTATCCAACCCCTGTAAGTACATGAGGTTGGTGTAAGCCATTAGGTAGTCTTCCGGGTTGGTGGTACCGTCATAGGCACCAACCAACACGTTCTTAACCTTGGCCGGATGAGCCGCCTCGGTTATCTCCCTGGAGAAAGCCGACGGCTGTTCCCCAAGATTTAGCAGCCAGAGCTGCCAATCCATTGGTTGGACATGTTATGTCGCCTGAACCCCAAAGAGGGCCGGCAGCATGTAGGGTGATCCATACGACATGTATGGCTGTTGGGGCACATATGAAGCCGGTTGGATGATCTGAGGGCCAGTACGTGCGGACAAGCCGCGTGACTTACTCTCTCTGTTTGTTTCCAAATACTTCATTGAAGTATTCTGGAAACTATCTGGGTAAGTCGACGTTGAGGCCGACTCAGACAACTGTTGACTTCTCTTCTGCTGGATTAACATCCGGGCATCTGAGTAAGTCCTTTTTGATCCATCTGGCTGAACTTGCCGGATGACCTTCCTTTTCCCTGATTTAGGGAAACGGAGCTTTGATAGATCGATCATAGGCCCATCCATCCCCTTTGGTTTAGGGTGAGGAGTAGGCACACGATCTTTCACCTGCTTCTTCCCTGAGGGAGAAGGCTTCTTAGCCGACTGACCCCTGTTGGTGCTAGTTGACTTATTTATTAGGTCCTTGATCTCCCCTTTGAAACTCGTCATGAATTTCATGAGTTCGTCTCTAGTAACGGGAGTACCACCCTCCGCCGCCTGGGGTTGCCCAGCCGGCTGGACTTGGGTTGCTTGGATAAGCTTTGTCTTCGCCCCGTTCCCTTGCTTCCTTGGAACGAGTGCGCCTTGTTCTGAGTGACCCGTCTGGGGCCACATAGGTGTTGACTTCAAAGTCGTCACCACTCTCTTGGCCTGTATAGACATCTACTCTGGCCAAAGGCCGGTTCTCTTCAGCAGGCGGTACAGACTGCTGTGAAGACATCTCAGAAGTACTCTCCCCACAAACGACGCCAAATGTTTCGGGGTTTTTGGATTCCCTCAGGAGAGTTACGATTCCAAGAATTTGCGTCGAGCGTCTGTACCTGCAAAACCACGGAAAATTCCGGTTGGGTGGAGTTTCGCCTTCGATGATTAAGTTAGAACGTATCCGGATGTATAAAGGTGCGAAATCTAAAGGTTTTTCTCTCGGATTCCGAGAGAAATTCTGCAATTAATATTGCTCGGGTTTAGTGAGTATATTTATGAATATGCAATAAATGAGGATTTTCCTCTATTTATAGTGTGAGGGGATCAGTTCCCCTTTCATGGGTTGGAGTGCCACGTGTCACCAGAGGGTTGGTTCTTTCAGAACCTCTTAGATGCTGACACGTGTCAGCACGTGATTAGTCCATGTGGACAGGGTAGTTTTACCTTAAACACGTAGTACCTTAAAAAGTTCATCGTAGTGCAATGATCATTGCCCTTGAATTCGTACAAAATTAAATATCAAACATGATAAAAAGTTAGATATGCCATAATTTGTTTGCAAATTAGATGGTTGAGAATTGGAATGATTATATGGTTAAGAGTGGAAAGAGTTTAAATTAAAGCAAGGGTAGAATTGAAATATTTTTAAAAATTATCTTACTCTGCATTCAGGCAAAATACTACCTGAATTTAGTACTCCCCTTTTACAACTTAAGTTTCACTTTTCGGCCTTTTGAACGAGCTTTTTGACTGCCCAAAACACTTAAAAACTCTAGTCTTCAACTATCCACTCTCTACCCTGTAGTTGGTGCAACAGGGCAGCACACTCACAATGTTCGCGTCGAAGCTTAGGCAATGGCGGAACATAGCCAAAGAAGCAGTAAACCGCACCATAATCATCGCTAAATTCCTCAGTCTCTTTCATATCACCGAAACCTACATCTTCTCTCCCACAATCGTAATTTTCTCTCAATTTTTCCTCTTAATTTTCTTCCACATTAATCAATTTTTGATACTATTTCTGAAATTTTTGTAGTTTTGATTCACAGGTATATGGTCCGAGCATGCTTCCGACTTTGAATATTCGAGGAGATGTGTTATTGGTTGATAAATTTTCGCATCGAATTGGGAATTTGGAGCTTGGAGATGTTGTCATTGTTAAATCTCCGCAAAACCCTAGACGAACTTTGACGAAACGTATTTTGGGAATGGAGGGTGATGTTGTTTCCTTTAATTCTAACACTGGATTTCTGAAGACTTTGGTGGTGAGTTTTTAAATTTTTTTTTTTTTCATTGAATTTTGCTTGCTTATATTGGATTTTTGTTGGATAAATTGTTTTTCATGTGTGATTTTACATTAGATTTTGCTTGCTTAATTAGATGTTTTGATTGGATGAGCAGTTTTTATTTGTTTATTTTTTATTGTTGATTTCTGTTTAATGCTTTGGAGTATTTGTGGGAATACAATTGATTGTTTGGTTATCAGAATTTGGTAATTTTTAGGTGATGATGCCATTTATATGTGAATTTAGGATGAGGAAGAGTGTAATAATAGCTGTTAAATTTTATTGTTGATGGTAGTGTCAGGAATGATTTTTTTTGAAAGAAAGTGGGGAAATAATATTAAAGCAAGCTTAATCAAGGTTTGCAAGTGTTAAAACAACATGCGTGAAAGAATTCAGAAAAACTTGCTTAGCCTCACCCACAGGAACTAATCTAGCAACAAGGTGTGCCACAGCATTACCACCTCTTTTAACATGATTACAAGAAAAAGAAACAAGGAATCCCCAATTAAGTAAATGTCCTCAAAAATCAGATTAATCAGAGCTCTCCCCTTCTTTCTTGAGCAGATGGCTTTAACAACTTCTAACGCATCGCATTCTAGCTCAACATTCTCAAACCTGAGTTGGCAGGCCAACAGCAGCCCCATTCTTGCAGCAGGAGCTTCAGCAATGAGAACCGTACTCTCATGTTTTACCCTATGCACAGCCGCTGCAAATACCTGGACCCACGTATAACAGCCCCCAAACCAGCACCCACACCACTCAACATTGCAGCATCCGTATTGATACGTACCCTCCCAGCATTGGGACGATGCCACCCATTTCGAGAAACAACATTACACACCTGCTGACCTGGTCTTTGTGATACTGCAAAATTGTACTTCTTATAATCTCCCACCAGCCGCAAGAAACCAAGCACTCCACTATCTCTATTCTTCCAAGGGTTGTTGTGCACAAGAGCATTTTGAAAAGACCATGCAGCCCACGCTAAAGTTGCAAAAGACAACAGGGAATCTCTCTGTAATCTCACTATCAACCAGCAGAATAAGTTGGTTTATGTTGTATTACTAACTCGAGTGTCATGAACAATTGAAAGTTTCATCAATTTGTGTGAGAAAGCTGTTGCCAAAATTCATATCCCCCTCGATTCCTGTCCCAAGAATTTTGAAGTTATTGGTTAAATAAGGCCAAATAAGAGATTGATGCTCACTTCATCCAAAAAAAAAAAGAGTTTGGAATTGATTGTCTGTATTTGAAATTCCAGATTTGAAATTCTAAATTTGAAATCAAATACTTGAATCCAAACACTACATTATATAATTTAAGAATGTTTTATTTTCTCATACTATATATGTGTTCTTCATAGTGGTTTAGTTTAATCCCAAAATAAAATATTATCTAGTCGAAGTCACAGACTCACAGTTCTGCTGCGAGCTCTTACAGTTGAGATATACACTCACTATAGTGGCTACAATTTTTGGTAGCTATTGAATAACCTTTCATTTATTTTAATTTGAATTTGAGACTTTGTTATGGAGTGGTTCCCATTATTGATTATGCATTGGTTAAGGATTTTCGGTTTACTACCTTACTTGCGTCGATTACCAAATAATAATTGTGTTAAGGGACTTACTTTATGGTCAACTCAAGGGACTTTTTTTAAAAAAAAAAAAAAACTCTAGGGACTACCTTTTATTATTGCTTTTTATTATATTTAGCCGGAAAAGTAGGTAAAGTTCCTTATTAGCGAAAAAAAAGGTGAGTCCCCAAAAGGCTAAATTTTTAAAGAAGTCTCCAAATATATCTTTACTTTGTTTTAAGGCATCAATAGCCGGTGAGTAAGATAATTTTCTTAAGAAAACACCGCGTGACCTTGCAATGGTTATGTAATAGACTACACCCTCACGGCCTCAACACGGGACTATCAAACAAGAACAAAGAACAAACACACAAAATAGACTGAAATAGCTAAGTAGCTCGAGTCTACTAATCTCCAAGTTATTATCTTTAAGATACAAGTCTCAATTTCAAATTTTCTACTCACATAACATTCACTAACTCCTCTCCTCTTAATTTATATACAAGAAGGTACACAACTAGCTGTTGCTACTACTCTTGTCCATACTCTACCAACGCTGCTTGCCATGGTTCCACTACTTGTTGCTGCACTGCTACCTTCAGCTCTTAATTGTTTTTGTCCTCATGTGCCACCTCCTTCCCTTGCTTTTGTGCTGTGACTGCTGTTAATTCTTGACAGCTTTGACCCCCCTTTTTCCTTCTTTTCTCTTCTCTTGTAAAACTTGGTAATTGGCAGCTTTGGGCCTTGGGCTTGGTCCATTACAGGTTAGAATTACTTTATTACTTTAAGAGAGAGAAACCCACATCCCCCGATTCCATTTGAAGACCCCTAGCTATTGATCACATGGTCCTTTAACCTTATCTAAAAGGTTTTTTTTTTTTATTTTATTTTTTTTTTTTTTCCAAAAATATAATATATATATATAAATAGAGTGTGGCTCATCTGCAAAAGGCACTTGCCTTCACCTTGTGCTTTGTTCCTAGGCTCCAAGGACTTTTGCGCCTTGCGCCCTTTAAACTTAAGGAATGAAGTTATCCCATCAAATATAGATGTTGCATCAATTGAAGACTAGAGAAGGAGCATACCACTACTCTGTATTGTATAGCAGAAGGCAGTGATCAATCTTGTTGGAAAATAGGCATGGGGTAGATGTAGTGGATTAAGCATTGCCCTTCTGTAATAATCAAGACTTGTATATCCTCATCTCCTTTCACATTCCTTGGTACTAGGATTGTGGCCCTCCAATGTACCTTCCAAGTAATAAAAGATCCTTGTTGAAAAGGTATGATTATGGCAACGAAAAGTGGGGGATTCTTGAGGATAGTCTTTCACAACATAGATTGGTAGGGTAGGATCCATGTTGATGCTTTGGTGTGAAGATGGTTTGCTCTTCTAGCCAGCAATCTCTTCCAGTCTTGAGGACTTGCATCTAAATTATAGTCTTTGTGTTTTACTTTGTTTTTATTTATTATCATGTTTGATGTCATTTACTCATTTTCATTTCTTTTGGTTTTATTCCTGTGGATTCACTATTTTGTTCTCTGGCAAGGTTTTTGAAATAAGAGTGTGATTTTGGGGCAGACATAGCATTTTGTGCACTAAATTGATGGTTGATGTCTGTGAGCATTTGATTACAAATAAATTCACTTGGCTCTTACAGGCTTTTGTAAACAGACTGTTACGAGGCTCTTTTTAAGCACGAGAAAAGCTGAGTTCCATGTTATCTTTATTATCAAATGGGGTTCTTAATACACTGAATATCTTGGTGGTGCTCAAACTTCAACGTACTTCCTTTATTGTCCAGCATGATTGTTGGAGATAGCCCTGTGTGTTTTATGCTGATAAATTAGTGTATTTTTTACTCTTCTTGGGTTCCACTTTGTTGAGGATCTCAATTCTCAATGTGTGGTGATGCTAGTTGTTAGATTGACCACTAATTGTATATTGCATGACAAATCAAGAGAATGAAAAGTACTTGTTAAGTACTGAATGTTGATTAGTTATCTTCCCCGTGCTTTGGATTAACCATTATGCCTTTGTGGGAAAATCTCACATTTTTCCAAGGGCAGAAAACGTGTACTGTCATTTTATTTTATATTTTCACAAATTGAACAGGTGCCAAAAGGGCATGTTTGGATTCAGGGAGACAACCTGTATGCATCAAATGATTCCCGGCATTTTGGATCAGTTCCTTATGGACTTATCCAAGGCAAAGCATTTTGTCGGGTATGTTTTGTTTTAGTTTTGCTGTTGTAAATTTTCTGGTTTCATGATATAAGCCTACAGTCATGATACAATTATTGGAATTATTGCATTTTGGTCAACACATGAAGCTGATTGCTGGTTTCGGCTCCTACCAATATTTTTTCAAGGTTCTTTCTTAAATGTCTGATGCACCTGTAGTTGATAGATCTTGAACAAGGAATATAGTACTGGATAAAGTTGGAAGTCCAAAAGCTGAAAGAAATGAAAGATGGTTCTCTCTGAATAGTTGAATAGGATTATGATGCTTAAAATAAAATATGTAGTAAAATTAAATGAAAATAAATAAATAATCAGTCTTTTTGCTTTGGAATGAAACACAGGTGTGAAATTTTTGTCAGCATGGTTTACCACTATCATATTACTGTTTAGCTAAGATAGATGATGATGTTATGTTATAAAACATCATCTTATTTAGTAAAGAATCTATTTTTTTTTCTTTCTGTTTTACATTTCTCCTTGCACTCCATGTCACTGAAAATGCTTGCAAAGATCTAAACATGGTTTATTGTTACCATAGTTATGGTTTCAGTTTCCACAAACCCAACACTTTACACCAGTTCAGTTATATATAAGATATTGCTTTTGATCTTCGTATCTCAGACTAGTTGAGTTAGATATAAAAAGATGCATTAATACCTTTATTTTTGTCAAACACCACAGATATGGCCTTTTGCTGAGTTTGGATCATTGGGATCGGGATAATGATGAGATGGAAGCCTCAATGTAAGGTACACTTTCGCTACCTTTTCTTATACTTTTTGCCATTTACTTTTCAAAACTAATCTTAAATACTTATTGATGAAATACTGGTTAAATAAATTTTCAGTCCTAATGCATGTAATTCCATATCACCTTGCTGAATCTTTCTGTTGTGTGCGCCTGCAGTTCAAGTGTTACAGATTCGAACCTGTTTCATGAATGAGGACTTGACTCAAAAGATGTTCACTTATCATTCCCCTTTTTGGTGTTTCTTCAAGTTGACCGGAAAATCTTAGCAAGAACAAGTATACACCATTACACTTCATGCATGAAGGGTTCTGCTCGTAGTCATGATCTGTGGAAAATTGAACTCCTCTAACTTGTACTTTTTTAATTGTATTCTTTTTGATAGCTCATGATAGTTCTTGCCTTCTTGGACTCACCTCAAAAGTTTTTTTTCTTTTCATACCTCAAGTTTTTCTTCTTCTTTTCATACCTCAAAAGTTTTTCTTTTTCTTTTTCTTTTCATTTTTTTTTTATAAAAAAATAAAATAAAATTAAAACTATTTCAGCTTAGGAGGGCTGGGAGGAGCTGTGCTCAAAGTTATCTATTTATTCCAATTGCCTTAGATTATGGAAATAATTTTACAATTTTGACTTATGAGAAGTGTAAAGAAAGGTGTTAAGATAACAGTTAGTTAAGTTTTGCAAGATTAATTAGAGAGATGATGGGCGGTTGTCTTGTTTATTTATTTTCATTTCTGTTAGTAATCTTTAATGCAAACAAGTTGTGATTTGATTCTTTTATTTTGATTGTTTATAATCAAACTTGTAATTCTTTGACCAAAAACTAACATTATTAACATATCTATAAAATTATAATCATGTTAGATTTTGTTAAATTCGTCTCAATATGTAGTTTAATAACATAAAATTTTAATATTTTTTGTTAAAATATAATTAAAGATATTGTTCAAAAATGCATTTTAAAAACCGTGCAAAATCAAAATGTTACTCCGTATTATTTAATTGAAATGAAGGGAGTAGTTAACTTTAATTTATTTTTTAAAACTGTTAACTTTATTATTAATCAATAACATAATACTAAAACAGACACCAGGAATGATACGTGTCACTTCATGGTGCTATTTTTTCCCTTCAAAACTCCCCCTCCCTTTTTAGCAAAAATATTTTATTTTCGGAATATTTGTATTATACAACTATATTAATATATTATTCCTAATCCTATATATTATCTTGTTAAAAATTGTATTCCTTTTGATTTCATAATCTATTTACAGAAAATAGTTACACAAGATTTTGAAACCTTTTAATTAAGGGTGAATAAACTATAATTAAAAAGGCTAAATTACCATTATATAGTTGTACAATAGTGGGGTTTAATGAAAAAAAAAAAAAATTTCTATTCATGGTGTTGATTTGAAATCTAATAATAATAACAATAAAATAATAATAATAATAATAATAATAATAATAATAGAGTTAGTTTTCTGTTAAATATTTCTGTAATAATTTCACCAACTTAAACTTTATTTTTTTCCTTCAAAAAATCTATTAACTATATATGACGTCAGATTTAAGATATTTTTTTTTTTGTTTTGTTTTTTTTATTTCCCTTAATTATTATACTCAGCTTATTTTTTAAATTGGTCGGGTTCGGATCAGATTTCGAGTTGTGCTTAGAAACAATAAAAAATAGTGTAAAACTTAATATTATTACAAAATATGAAAATTTGGTCAAATCGGGTCGAATTCGGTTGTTCATGTTCGATTCGGGTCGGGTTCGGGTTTCTCTTAGTAACTTCGGGTCGGGTCAAGGATTGCCAACCCTAGTTTTACATCTCTTGGTGTGTAAAATTAGGGACTCTTTTGGCGTATGTCTTCAAGAATGGTATTTGGATGGTGGGACTATTATTGGTGATACCTTGGTGTTGGGGAAAGTTCTTGAGTTGATTATGCTAGACGATCCTCGTTTCAAACTACGCTTAAATGTAGAAAAGACTGAAGTTTTCTGGCCTGTGGAAGACCCTCATAGTAGGCTTGCGGGTGTCTTTTCCCCCGACATTGCTCGGCCTCGGCATGGTGTTAATTTGCTTGGTGCTCCCACCAATTCCAACTCCGTTTTTAGTGGAGAGTTTGTGATGCAGAGAGTGACCAAGACCATTGTCCTTATGGAGAGTGTTGCTAAGCTTGATGATCCCCAGTGTGAGTTATTGTTGCTTAGGGCTTGTACTGGCATTTCCAAACTCTACTTTACTTTGCGTACTTCTCCTCCTGGTGTCTTTAAGGCGGCTCAGCGCACATTTGATGGGGCTCTTCGGTCTTCTTTTGGAGCGTATTGTTACCGCTTCTGGACCAGGATTTGGTGATTAGCAATGGCGTCTTGACACCTTACCTTTTGTGTTTGGAGGGCTTGGTGTTTAATCTGCGAGTGATGTTCGATATTATGCTTTTCTCGATTCTTGTTTATAGTTTGTTGGCTTGCAGACTCAACTTCTGCGACATGTTGGTATTGTTGAACCAAGTCGTGCCTTTGATGATGGGTGAGTGTATTTTACAGAACTGTGGAGTCTGACATTTTACATAATCCTGGTGAGGTCTCAAAACTTATGAAGAAATTGGTAGATATATTTTACAAAGGTTACTGCTTCTGTAGAATCCACATGTTCTTTATCTCCTCGCCAGTCAGCTTTGTGGAAGTCTAAACAGCGAGAACACACCTTGGATTGGCTTCTGGCGATCCCTATTTCTGTCGGCAATTGTTTCATGTTCCTCTTTTTTAGTCTCTTATATTCAGTTCTTTTGATTTGTTGTTTTGGTGTGATTTAATCTATTGTTTGAATTACGGTTTTTGAGATTTATTTGCTAATTTCCAATAGTTTAATTTTTAATTTGCATACATTGTATAGTTTTTTTTTTTAATTCATAAATAAAAAGCCATACGACATTCGTTTTGGGGTTTTTGGAGTCCCTCGGGAGAGTCACAATTTCGAGAATGCGCGTCGACCGTCTGTACCTGCAAAACCACGAAACTCCGGTTGGGTGGAGTTCCGCCTCCGACGATCAAGTTAGAACGTTTCCGGATGTATAAATGTACGGAAAGCAAAGGATTTTCTCTCTGATTCACAGAGAATTCTACAATTAATATTGCTCGGTTTTTTGTGTTTGTATTTATGAATATGTAATAAATGAGGATTTTCCTCTATTTATAGTGGAAGGGGATCAGTTCCCCTTTTAGGTTTAAGGTGCCACTTGCCAGCAGAGGATTGGATCCCATTGGGCCTCTCTGAGGCTGACACGTGTCAGCATGCCATTGGGCCACGTGGCATAGGGTAATTTTACCCTAAACATTTGCCCCTCGCAGGTGTGACGTGGCTTGCCACGTGGCACCTGTGACAGGTGTCACATTCTGGGAAGGTGACGGTTCGTCTCCTTCCCTCCATTTTTTTTTGAATTCGAATTTCGAATTTGAACTTGAGGGGGAGGTGACGGTTCGCCTTCTGCCTCCTTCTATAAATAGATACCCCCACCATCATTTGCAACACTTTGCAAATTTTCACAAACTTCTTGAGAGAAAAAGCTCTGATACCGGCTGCTTTTGCATTCAACCACTTCCTCTTTTCACACTCATCCGGACATCGTCTGAGTGTTCTTTGCTCAACTCTCTCAGGTACCACTTGATATTGTTTGCTTCTATTTCATTGCAATTTTTGCGATTTTGCCTCGTACCAATCCACCACCCCCCCCCCTTTTTTTTTTTTTTTTTTTTTGCAATTTTAATTGTACATGCGGTATGCCGGATGCATTGCCTTTGTCTGCCTTTGGACGGTTGTTTGCTTATAATTACAACTCTAAGCAGACAGCCGTCCACATAAGCATCCGGACGATTAGATAGGCGGTCTTTGACCGTTATTAGAATAGAATTACTCTAAGTTGGATTAGCTTGCGGCGCCGGCTAGGGCCAACCTAGATTATTCTTTTAACCGGCTGCGGATTACCCTTTGGGTATCCGGCAGTGCCGTTGGTTGGTACGCAGGCGGCCTTTGGCCGAACGTATGCATCATAACCAAGTTGCGGATTAAGAGCCAAGGTTTTGACCTTGCTTGTTGAGTTTGTAGCCGGTTGTAGTGCTTTTTGGCAAAAGCCGGCTACAAATCAAGATTTAAATTACCGTCTTTGTTGCCTTGAAGCAACGTCCGGTTGTATCTTGATTTCGATTGATCATTCGAACAACCATGAGTTATCTTTAACCTACACAGTCGGTTAAAGCCGTTTGAGTTATGACCTCTAGAACAATGTACCACCCGGAAGGGAGATGTTCTCTTCGACGAATTCACCAAAATGGGCGTCGCCGGATGCCTGCTCATGTTGGAGCACATGAGCAGGCGGTTTAAAATATGTTCGGCCATTGGCCTTGTGAATAGCTAAGTCGATACTTAGCCTTCTACTCAGTTTAGAACAGATGATTGCCCGGTTGTGCTTTGCACAGATGGGACTTGGAAGTTGCCCGGTTTTGCATTGCACAGATGGGACTTTATACAAAAGATAATAGAAATAAAGTACTCTTTCATTAATATACTCTATTTACAAATATTTACAAGTCCTTAGAAGTAGTACTTTTCAAGTTATCTACATTCCAGGTTTTGGCTAGCTGCCTACCGTCTGGAGTTTCCAAGCGGTAGGTGCCGCCTCTAACTTCTACAAAAATCCGGTAAGGACCCTCCCAATTAGGGTTTAGCTTCCCTTGCTCATTTGCCCTACCGGTTGCCTCCATTTTTCGTAGCACAAGGTCCCCTACTTTGAGGGGTCGTTTGTGTACTCTTTTGTTATAGGCCCTTTTCATTCTCAGACGGTAAATCTCATGACAAAAGGCGGCATTGCCCCTGCGCTCCGGGAGTGAATCCAATTCTAGCCGCATGGCCTCCCAATTTGCCTCTTCATCATAGAGCATAATTCGGAGTGTTAGCTCATAAAGTTCAATTGGCAGGACGACTTCAGTGTCGTATGTCATGAGAAACGGGGTTTCACCGGTTGCCCCTTTTTCAGTTGTTCTGATGGCCCATAGGACATGAGGCAACTCATCCGCCCATAGACCGCCAGCCCTTTCAATTTTCTTCTTAATGTCGTCTGAGATGAGCTTGTTGAAAGCTTCAACCGTGCCGTTTGCTTGGGGGCGGCCAACTGATGTAAAACAATGTGAGATCCTTTGATATCTCAACCAGCTCTTGAGGGTAGGCGTTTTAAACTGAGGGCCATTGTCAAAGACCATAGACATAGGAACCCGAAACCAGGTGATGATGTTTCTCAAGATGAAAGAGATGACATCCTTTATCTTAATGCCCCTGACCGCCTCTGCCTTAACCCATTTGGTGAAGTAATCTACAGCCACCAGGATGTACCTTCGCCCGCCTGTAGCAGGCGTATATGGACCTAAGATGTCCGTGCCCCACTTTGCAAATGGAACCGGGCTGTAGATAGCTGTCAAATCAGTGGCCGGACGGTGTATGAGCCGCCCAAATCTTGGGCACTTGTCACACTTCTTCACCATTTCCATGGCGTCTACCTCAAGAGTGGGCCAAAAGTAGCCTTGCCGTCTGGCCCTTTTTGCTAAAGTTCTGCCGCCTATATGTGATGCACAAAAGCCCGAGTGCAGAGCCTCTAGAACCTCTTTTCCCCTTTCAGGGGTAACGCACTTCAGCAACGGCTGGAGGTAACCCTTTCTGAAGAGCTCCCCCTTGTAGATTTCAAAGCTTGAGGCTCGCTTTTTCAACGTAGCCGCTTCTGAA